CACAACATTTATGATTCCCTTGGGCTGGGAAGTTCGCTCTCCGGACTGTACCCTCTTGGCTCCTTTCTACCTCACTGTAAAATATTGCAGATAATCAAGCCAATATCAAGGCAGCCTTCTCCACCCCCCTGGTCAGGACCAGTACTCTCTCAAGGAAGGAAGAGTGTGCAGGAGAGCATCCCAGGCCTGCCAGAAGCTGGCTGGCACACCCAGGGGCACTGGCTTTCCCATCTGCCCCAGTCTTGGGCTCTTCTGCTCCTTCTCATCCCCAGACAGGAGGGCAGATGGGGGAAAACCTTTATTCTTGCCCACTGAAGTATGGCTTGGTCTCTTCACCAAAGAGGATAGATTATTTGTTCTGATAATCTGCCTCTAATTTTATACAGCAGTGTTTTAATTCCCCTTCACAATTTTTCTATCCTAGCACAAATGAAAGCAGTAATATTCCCTCCCACAAACCCCGGGGAGAACAGCAGCTACAATTTTTGATTTTTTTTTTTTTACACTGTCTTTTCCTATAAAGGCTTTTTTTACACTGTCTTTTCCAATAAAGGCTATGGATTTTCTTCTATCCCTTTGCTACCAATCTTTTGGTAGGATATATGTAAAGCTGGGAACACTCTAATCCACACTCTTTTCTGTCTGTATTTAAGGACAGATCAATATGAGAATGGATGGGAAGTGAGAAACCATGCTGAGTAAGATGATCACTAGTTTCTGTGACTTTTCTCATCAGAAAAATTCTCCCTTAAGATTACCCTATTGCTGTCACTTAGTAGTATGTTTCATATATCAGTGAATATTTCTTCTGTTTTGCTGTTTCCTCTCTGAAGCATAATTTTCCATGTGCAAATAAATAGCCTCATTACTGGAAATAAGTGAAAACTGGACTGTGTGAGCATAGACAGTAGTAATAACAACCATCTTATTTCATTTGTAAAAATGCTTCCTGGGAGAAAACACTGGTGCAACCAGCCCACAATGCTAAATGAATGGTCAGACTGAACCACATAAAAGTTTTACTGTCTGCAGCTAATTTCTGTTGTTTATTAAAAATAATTCTGCTTTGAGTTAAAGAAATTAAGCTTAAGGGATGTTTATTCATAATTTAAGCTAGTTAATAATAGAAAAGTAATATGGAGAGAAACTGACACACTCTGTTTCCATTAAAGTAATAAAAATTGTGATTATAAGCCCATGCTTCACATTAGTAAGAAGCTAGAGCTTTTAAGGCCAGATCTTGCACTTTCAAGTATTGGTGTTTTAAGGAGATCCACAGACATATAAGTGTTATTCAGTATGTCAGATTATTAAAATGCCTGGCAAGGCATCCTGGCCAGATTTTTCTTAGGGCTAACTACAAGACAGGATATGAAACTAAATGATACCTCCTACAAGAAAACAAGTTCTATGGAAAATTTATGATACTTATTGGTATCACTTTTCTGCCATTTGCTATTTTTATTGGTATCTCCTTTTTTTATTATTTTAATACAATGAATGCTATTCATCTTTTCTTCTGACTAAATAAAATATTTTATAAAACAGCTTTTAGAAGGCCATTACCTTCATATTTATTTAATTTAAGTATCACAAACAGCTAACACTCCATTTTAGTGCACAACACAAAACATATATTATTAAAGGAAAATACTGGACAAGTGCACACGACAGTTCATTCAAATTAACGAGCTCTGTCTTTTAGATATGGATAGGCAGATAGATTTCTTTTCAGAGTAACCAGTATATTGTCCCATTCTCTGTGTAAACAAATACAGGCAAAAGAGGAGAAATCAAAGATCTCTTACTGTATTGCGAAGAGGAAACAATGAGATTTTATCCACACTACTTTTTCTTTGCTATGCTGTACCACCAGAAACAACTACACTCCACTGCTTATTGAATCTGGGTGAATGGAGTGTAGTCACTTTAGTTACATAGACAGAAAAAAGTTTTGCTGGAAAAGAATGGAAATCAAAGAAAGCAAAAAACAAAACACACTCAGCTGAAAGAACAAAGATGCTTGAAGCAGAAAAATGTAAAAATTATTTTTTCTACAATTTTTTTGTTTTAATTGTTTTTCAACTTCTCAATCAGAATTTTTTTCTCCTTTCTCCTCTGGGAGAAGGGGAGGGAACAGAAGACTGAAATGTAAAGAGGGAACTGATCGATACTTGACAGAAAAGTCAATTTCAAGAGAGTTAATGTCTAGTTACCGAAGGAAAGGATGATTACATAGGAAAAAAAAAAAAAAGAAAAAAACCCATATATTTCAAACAGAAAATGTAACTCAGAGATGTCTATCTAAAGCAAGTTAAAAGCAATATACCAAAAAAATCAAGGGGCCGAGTAGGATTGTGAAGTAAGAAAATATTCATATTTGCATTAAACATAAAAAATAAATCCTTAGAAATTAAAGAGGAAAAAGAGGCATCTTCTTTTACCAGAAATATATTTGTAGTTTATGAATATGTGACATACAATCACTTTCAAAAGAAACAACACTTAAAATAAATGCTTCACAAAACAAAGTTCAACAACTTCATGTGTTTTCTGAAGAACAGAACATTCTGAGAAAGTAAGACTTCTCCACAAGGACTGGTATTTGACATAAAATTTCATGCCAACATGGAGGCAAACATTTTACCCTGTGTCTTTACAGTGGTGCAAGTTTGGAGAAGATGACAGTTTACAGTAAGTGCACTTCATTTTCCAACTGGAAACTCTTACTTCACCAGCTTTTCCCATTATCTGCATCTGCAGGAGGCAGAAGCTCTTGCAGCCTGTTCTCCTGCACACTCCTTGGTGACTAAGGTAACAAAGAGCAAGGGGAGAAGGCGAAGGAAGGATTAAAAGATGAGGACAATGGGGCTGGGGAGGCTGTGGGCACGAGATCTATGGTTCACCTTTGGGGGAAAGGGCTGTGCAGGAAGAGCAAGAGGCATGCTTTTGCGTGGCTCTTGCGAGTTGTAACAGACAAAATGCTTCCTCTTTCTTCATCGTTATAAGAAAATATGTGAAAATATAGCTCTAAAACTTGTTTGGGTGTCCACACTCTCTGAAGTTGAACTGGCAATGCCAATGATAATGAATAAAACACAGGAAACTAATAAAGACTGATAAAAGATGAGGAGCAGCAACACTGAAAATGAAAATCCACAAGAGATCGCTCCTGCAGCAACACCAATTGATTTCCCTAACAATGATAACTGTTAATGGAATAGAGAGCAATGTGTTGAGAAAGCAGGACTTCCAACACGAAAATTATAAATACTGAATATAAGGTAAGCCACATATTCTAACAATACTAACATCCATCTCTTGCAAGAGATCTATGAAGGAACCAAACAATAGTCAATTTTTGTTTCAATGATAGTTATTTCCAGATTGTATCTTTATAGTTTAAAATTTACTCTGATTGTAGCATTTGTCATTCCTACAGATGTTATAAAGAAAACAGCTAACATCATGATGCAGTAGGTGACTTTCCATATTCTAAAATTCAAAAGAGTTTATTTGTAAGTATCTATTTCTACCTTTGAATTTGCAGGAGTATTTTTTTCTGCTAACAACAGAAACTTTTCCTTGACCTTTTCACAGAAAAAATAAGCTAATGAGTTGTTCTAAAGCTTTTTCTTAGAAACAGCGGGAAAACGCATGCTTTTCTTGTCTTTGCTTCTCAGCTTCAAGCTTTTTTTTTTTCCTTTTACACATGAATTGTTCCAAAGCAGATTTCTAGGATGCAAACATGAAACCACCCTTCACATACATTAAAAACCTGAGGTTTTTGTAATTGCTAAAGGGTTGCATAGTTGTGGGTTTTATTAAATAAAAGCTGCATTTAAAAGTATTAAGATTATTTTGATACTGTGCTGCATGCTTACATATATTTATAGTAAAATCTAGTCCAATCCCCCTCCATGCTTAATATCATATCTCTTTGCTCATTTAGAAAGTACATGGAGGCGTTTTTAGCTCCATAAATACATCACCATTGCTGAACAACATTAAAGCATCTGTCAGGTTGTGTGCACCCATTATTGATATTTGATTAGAAGGTGTTCACCTACCTTACCTGTTCAATGGGCAACAGGATGAAAAGCTTAAAATACACAAAGGTTCTGAAAGAAAAATGAGCATGCTGGACACATTTACTATGGAGCACCTTGTAGATTTTATTTTATTCACTTCTCTGATTCATACTAGTGTAGATCAGGTGTGATTCAACTTGGAGAATTCATTGACAGTGTGGATGCTCACATGAATTAAAAAAAAAAAAAAAGTCCCATCACCTGCATATCTGTTCTTTATTTGAAGATAATCAGACAGAAAGTGGTTTTGATTCAAAGAAGGCAGCTAGAGCCCTTTGTTATTTCTGACATGTTTTCCATTGCTAGTGCTGATACAATGCATTTTCATTGGGTTAGGTGCCTCAAGGCTTTGGAATGATGTTGCAGTAAATGCTTAAATTTCCCTGTCCCTTGACTTCTTCATGTTAACTCAAACTCCATTTCCACCTTAAATAATACTGTAAAATAATTTCTAAATATCACTCATTAAAAAGTGTGCTCAGTTTAACCTTTGAAAAGTACACTAAATTCATAGTTTGAGGTGCCTTAGAGAAGGGAACAACCAAAGCTTTTTTTTCATTTTACCTTATCTTAAAAAATAATTAACTTAAAACCAGATTTTCCACATCTTTTATAACCCAGACTTATTCTCACTCTCACAGCCAAACTATAATCCTGTTAAATTATTGAAGCACTAATAGGTCCTAATAGAAAAATACACAAGATCAGTGTAACATTAATCTTGCCAAAATTAGTTACAATTCAGAACAATTTCCTTGCACATATCTTACTCATGCCATTAGCAACACTGATGGTACAGCAAGGCTTCATATACACATTTTTAAAGTATATTAAAGCCCAAGAATGAAACCCTGGTGCTCCATTTACAATGTAAGGGAAAAATAAAATAAAATAACAAAATTGGCTTACTTCCAGTATGATCAGCACGTAGACACCTACTAAGATGATGGATGCAATTGTTACTTGTGCCTCTATATTTGCATGAAGGTATTGATGCTTCATGGAGAGAGGAACACTTCCAGGCTCCTGCAGGAAAGCTTGAACATTTATGAAGATGGTACCTCTGGCAAAAGGAAAAGAAGGTTTGTTTAGTTCTAGAATGAAATACCATTAGTCTTATTTATGCATTAATTCTATATTGAGTACCTATAAATATTTGTATATGTGTTATATCTTTACGATTGCAAGCAACTTTTCAAACATCTTCACTCTATCTCTCTAAATAGAATTGTTTGGAAAGTAATTCAAGTACAAACTAGCCTTGTACAATCCATTTAAAAAGCCACAAGACATCATCCTTTCCTGCCCCTCTGAAACAGGCAGTGATAGATTATTTTTAAAACATTATATATTCCTTTATAATCAAGTCTATGTAAACAGCTACTTCAATGGATCATTTCTCCGTCTCTTGGCCAACCTGTTTGGTATCTGAAAGGTTCTAGTTGTGATGATTTGATGATTTCTTCTTGAACTTAAGGGCAGAGACCAGTTATATACCACCTGCAAAAGAGTTACATTTGGCAGCATTAGTAAAAGTCAGTGAAAGAGATATGTCTCTGACCTAAGGTTTTATCCTCTTTGTTCTCTCTCCTGTCCATTTAAGAGAATTTTTTGTGGACAGGGCATAATATACACCAGCCTAAACTAATTCTATCTGATTAGTATATTAAAGGCGCTTAGGCTGGAGCAAACATCCTTATTCCCTCATTCAACCAGTGAAGGGAGAGACACGTTCAAGAGGTGTTCCAGAGAGGGGATGCCAAATCACACTTTGCATTGGCTACATGGAGCAATCTAGGGCAGCTAGGCTCAGGGTCAACAATATCGTTCACTCCCAAAGACTGCCTGGGAAGAAAACTAACACACATGAGGTACAGATAATGAAAGGCCCAGGAGCAATGTCATACACCCAGACATTATGAGGAGGACATAGTAGAATTTCAGTAAACAAAATTCCTGTTTGCTGATCTTCTATCAAAAAATAAATAAAAAAAAAATCTTCAGAAAATAAACACTTTCTGAAACTTTGCCCATTAGTACACACTGATATTCATGAAAGTTTACCAAAAATACTCTTCAAATGTAAATACAGATATTCTCTCTTTTTTTAAAGGAACTTTAAAAATACTTCAGATTTGGTTAACTGTAGCCTAAATCCTAAGCCTGTCATGACCCTATACGCTACAAAGTGCGGAAAAAAAACCAGCTTAATCAGCCAGCTTGGAACATCTGACACAAATAAATGCCTGGGGAGCACGCAGGCAGAGAAGTTTATTTTGGTTACCCACTCCTTTGGTCATGTCAGGACCACCATTGGCATGCCAGCCTGAAGGCTGCTTGGGGATCACTGTCAGCAGCACAGGTTGCAGCAGCCTAATCATAACAGGTATTTTAGGGTATTTTAGGAGAGTAATTGCCATTATGGTGCTGTTTGCCATGTTGAGGTCGTGGGACTAATCTTTCGATGTAGACTGTGAGATCAGGTGTAAGTGAAAATGCTGATGGCATTGTTCAGCTGTGCTCTCACTGATAGAAGCAGGCCATCCTGTCACTTACACAGAATGAGAGACAGTCGTTTGTATGTCAATGCTATTTATTAAATTATGAAGCTTATTTTTATTTTTCAGTGATATACAATGACAGGCTACAAAAGTTCCTCCTTCACCGAGTTCTCTGGAAGAGGGCAGCAGGAACTTGTTGCCAACAACATAAAAAATGAGAAAACCTTAAGAGAAATAAAGCCAATAAATGTGACACTTATTTGAGAAACTAATTTGCAACAAAATGTGAAAATGTATTTCAGTGAGTGCAAAAAGACACTTTGCATTTGTTTCTTCCTTCTAAGACAACTTTTGAAATGTTGCCAATTTTAAACACAAGAGCTTCCATGCTAAGTGTCAGTCAAGGGGCATAAGTTTTACAAAATTTTAATATAGGAAGCTAAACTAAGTCTTATAAAGACAAAAGAAAATGTAATTTCATTCTTATTAGAATAAGTTTTCTAGTGCTGACATTGACACACTTCACAGCCAGGAAAAGTACAACCACTTAATCCACACAATGGTGATGAAATATAAGTGATAAAACACATCTCAGAAGAATGCAAGAAAATTTAAAGACCATCACCTGTTGCTGGCGTCTCCTCCTTGATCCAGCATCTTCAGTCTGACTGATTTGTACTACAATGTATTCTTCCCTTTGCTGATCAACTACATCTGCCACAAATGGGCCTCCCATGTCTAACTTCAAGAGAGAAGAATCACGAAAATCGGTCAGATTCATAGCTGTTAATAAAATTGTTAAGGTGTAAATTTCCAGCAAAAACTAGTATAGACTGTACAAATTCCAGAAAAAACTACAAGTTAGTCACCTTCTATTGAAAACACATTCTTCAGCTAAAATGCTTACAAAACTATGAAAAGAACAAAATAGGCGTCCACTTCCTCACCAGGTAGCATTGGTTTGGCTACGTTTCCTAAGGAAACAGACATTACGGGTTCAGAACAAATACATCTGTCCTTTCCTAGTGACTTTGAGATCAACAGTGCTTTCAGCTGACACTGTAAAGGTACCAAAGCTCCGAAATAGCATATGGAAATACACAGAGAAACAGAGAAGTAAAGCTCTTTTAACAGCTTGTGCTAGATGAAAGGCTGCATCATCAGCTCAGCAATTTAAACATCACAGAATTTATACTGGGGAGAACACTGTGGAAGCTCCAGCCACAAGGAAAACTAAACCAGAATCAATGTCCTATTGATGCCAGCAGATCTGCTTGTTGGTCAAAATTGCACTCACAATTTTTCAAACATCTCAAATACAAATTTTCAAGCTTCTCTTGGTTGGAGTACTCACAAACTCTTTCTCCTCCAGCTCCCTCATCCACTTTCTCTTTCTTCCTCTCTTGGATATCTAGCATGAGGTGAATCTAGCATGAGGTGAGCATTTAGGAACTACATTCCTAGTCTAAAATAATTGAGAAATCAGTTAACCATAATCCACAAATCCATTGGAAGTCTGGCTCTACTAGTCCCAATACATCTAGGACTATTTAAACTCACTATTGTGATAGTCCGCTTCTGGCATGGTTGAGAAAGAATCATCCCTGTGGGTTTGGGGAAACCCTGAGCTTTTAAACCATTCAGAGTCCATTTGTTACTATAATAGAGCAATATTGTAGCTGTTTTGCTCCTATCTGTGACAAGATAGAAAGATAAGGTGTCACCAACAACAACAAAAAAATCCTGACAAAGGAAAAGAAGTCTTGATTTTACACATACACCTTCTGTTGAAATTATGCAACTTAATCACCTGCTTGAGTATCTTAACAGTTTTAACATCTAACATTCAACTGAGCATACCATAAAAAGTGAATCTGTTGCCAAAAAAAAGTATGGAACACTGAGATTTTAACAGAAGAAAAAATGCAGTATAGCTAGAGAGAACTCAGAGCAGTGCTGTGCCCTGCTTCCCAGGGAGCCCAAACGAGGCCATGGTAGACCAGTCTGTACTGGGGAAAGCTTTGTAACATTATGCAGGGATCCTTCATCTTCAGAAGAGTTGTTGCACCTGTCCACGTTCTCAGCAGAAGAACTGGATCTAGAAAAGAGACATCTTTCACACTAACCCAAAATGACCCCAGCAGATCTAGTGGCAGATGAATAGCCCAAGTGTTGCAAAGTAATATAAATGCCACCCTGCTCACCACAGTGAGCAGAGCAATCACCACCAGTGTCACCCACATGCTGTTCATTAAGAACGACCCTCCCACACATCTATTGCTTAAAGGAATCACACAGGAAAGGATAAAAAAATAACCTCAAATGAAACAAATCAGGAGACCAAATCCAGTCAGAAGAATTTACACACACAGCCTTTAGAGAGCATAAATACAAATTACAACAGTTCTCCTTTGGTTCTGAAGATTTTAAGTGTGATTTGGCAACACAGTTTTTCTGTGTCCTAATTAATACATAATATTGTCTCAACTGGAACTATAGGTATGACTTTAACCAGAGACATTAATTATACCTTCTGAAAGGCCTGCTGACCTGAAGTCATTAACCCAATGATTTGGGACACCTCTTGACAGTCTGCCTTTTATTATGAGTGTAGCCAGTAATTTATGTCTTGAAAAGCTTCAGGTGCATATAATTATGGCCGCTTCCTTTTAAGCAATACTTTTAAAATAAATCCTGTAATTACCTAGATGACACATTCAGGAGCTATTATAAAGGATGGTTAAATTAAAAGAGGGGAGGAATTAAACTTTATATTCAAGAAGAATGGTTCCTTCCTTCTTTTCCTATAAAGATACAGATACTTAAGAATTTTTTCCATTCCTTCATGTGCATTTATAAAACCACCAGAAGAGCGTTAGCAAAACAGGTTCTCCTTTGATGGCAATTGGAACTGAACATCATTTACCAGTCTGCACTGAGGCCCTGAAATCCCACCAGAGTTATCTTTCTCCAAACAATATTTAGAGACTCTCACATAATTCCATGTTAGACTTCAGCAGATCACAGGCTTTATGAAAGGTGAAATCAAAATAAACCAGGAGAAAACTTCAGCCACGCTTATATGAATCAAAATGTGACTTTTTTTTTATCAGCCTGCTCTTCAGATGATTTTCATTCTGCCTTATCTTGGTTTTATATTTCCCTTGAATTGACAGAATGGAATTCCCTCTATATTTCAATCATTCAGATGTGACTAACTTTTGGGAAAACTATCTTTTTACTTTTAAAATCCCCTTTTATTCTGCAACTTGACCATGCTGGGACTTTTTTCTTTTCTAAACCTTTTTTTGTAATGTGGCAAAAAATCTCCCTGACAATATTTACAGCCAGAGCTGTTATTCTTTATTTCACTTCAGCTAAGCTGCCTCATTTTTATGTGGTTCCGTTCTTGAAATTCTATTACTGCTGTGAATTATCCTGTCAAGTGAAAAGGAGGTACTTTTGAGATGGAATTCATTGCTTCATTTTAGACCACCACACGAAGATGAGGGGAATCGCTCATGAGAAGATTCAGTTCTCTCTATTAACTATAAAATGAGCCTAGGATGAGTAACTCAGGTGTAGCTGAGATGAGTCTCTCCTGAAATACTGAGTCCCTGCTCTACCCTCCATCATGCCATTAATTCAGCAGGTACAGAGACAGCTGAAAAGCCATGATTGACAGAGATTCTCTGTTATATTTGCAAGCAGATGGCTGACTTTAGGCATTATTTAACATCTACTTGGATCACTTTTTTTGTTTACTCTAAAGAATACTATGTCTATTGATCATTTTTCACCAAGTTTCCGAGGTGCTCATGTACTACTGATACTGATTTATGACAAGGTCACTCATGTTAGTTTCTCTAGGATATCACTATTTTAAAGAAGGCATTTTTCCTGGGTCTTAGGATCTATTTCTACATGTTGTTCTTAACTGGGGTTATTTCTTCATCACTCTTCAGTTTTCTCTTTTGATGTCCTATCCCTGTTTATAGCTTCTGAGGTTGTTTTTACATCATCCCTTCACAATATACCAAGCTGAACCACATGCTTTTCTATACCTATTGGTTTCCCCATCTGAAGACTGCTCCATAACCTTTTTTTTTCCTTTTTCCGAGTGCCAGAAATGTGGTTCCATTTTTATCTGCATTCAATCCATACTTTCCTTCTGTGGTCCACAATTTCTAGAAGTTTTGTGAATCCGTAATAAACCCTCTTTTCTGCAGCATTTTCTCAATGATGCCTTGAGATTCTGCTTCTTTGCTGGCCTCTGCATGTGGTCCTGGTCTTCATCCATCTACTTAGCATCTTGAACATCGCCCGCAGGCCAAAATGCTTAGTACGTTTCCAAGACATCAACAAACATAAATGACTTTTAAATGTGTTCTGAAAGGAAAAATGACAGAGGAGTGTCTGACAGTAGAGATCTAGAGTTGCAAAATGAAAAATAAAAAAAATTCAACGGGGAAAAAGAACTAAAGAGATTAGAGAAGTTGTTTCATCCATTAAGTTAATTAATGCTCCCTGGGAGTTGAACCCATTTTTAGGACGTCTATGGAAGCTGGAAAGTCTGCTAAAAGCTGACTATATTCTTTGCCTTACAGTCTTTCTTTCTATATATACATCTGGTTCAGGGAGTGGGAAAGGTGATTTTCAGTGTCACTAATGCTCATGGCATGCTTACAAGTTTTCCTAGAGACCTCTTCTTGCTCCATGATTAAAACAGTTGCACCAATCATTCAAACTCATGCAACTTCAGCAAGGAATTTGATAATAAGGTCAGCACATTTACCCATCTTATGTCTGCACAGTCTAGAGCCTCCCCATCAACTTTCATATGTGGAATTGTTCTAAATAGCTCGACTGAATCCAAATGAAATGAAAAATCTAGCCAATGATGTAAGTTTCAACATATTATTGCTATTGAAATACATCTATTTTCTGAATTTGAGAACTTAATCATGGACTGGATGTGATGAAATCTCTCAGAGCTACTGAGGAGGCAGGTAAGTCAGTGAAAATGGCCACTGACTAGTCAATTCGATATCTCTGGTTTTGTTTGATTTGGACTGACTAGAGACCTGTTCAGCCATGACCTGAGATTATGTATTTTCATTAAGTTTTGTTTTTCACTTAAAGAGCAAGTGAGTAAGAAACCCTTTTCCCTGTGTGCTCTGCAAATATATGCCCTGCAAAATGTCAGCCTTTGCTCCAAAAATTTACTGAGGAGATATCAAACACTTAAACAAACTACCAGATCAGGACTGAAAGGCTTCAAAATATACTTATAAAAGTGCAAGATCCTTGTCCAGGCTCGGAAAGAATTCACAATCCACTCCCCAGTTACTATGAGGTTTCAGGTCCAAGAGAAGGAAGTTCTGAAAAAGGAAAATGAAATTGCTTCACCTAGACTGATCTAAATTTTCCTCACCTATAACAGGAACTGGAACAAGTACAGAGGTTGAGAGGGAAGATTGTCACTGAAACACTTGTCAGGGACAGAGTAAAGATGGAAATTCACAGCTCAACAAGGTAGGTGTGAGACCCATTGCACAGAAATGTGCTGGAAGAAGATTGACTTCTTCTTGTGAAAAGAAAATGTTACTACTATTGAGAAGTGTAGAAATAGCAATAATTGTATCAGGTACAGTGAAAGAAAAGAAGGCACTATATCAGGGAGACAGATACTTCTTTAAATGACAGCGTAGCTTTATTGCATAATTCCTTAATAGCATCCACAAATCCCCATTATTTTTTAATTTCATAAAGCCTAGTTCAATTCAAAAAGTTAGTGCACAGTTCTGTTCCACCTGTCTGTTTCGCTTTGGTGGAGAAAAAATTAAAATTTTGCTTAGAACAGGGCAGAAGTTATTAAAAACAAAGAAACAAATACGGAGTATATTTAACATTTCAGAAGATTCTTCACTTCTGAAAATCTATGTAAGCTGTGGAGAACAAGAATATTTCTCATTCACTCTTTGGCCAACCAGTTAATGGAGAGAAGTTACCTGAAGGTTTGAATGGCCAAACAGTTACAGAAAATAAAAATGTTCATGTCTTAGAACAGGTATATGTAACTAAACTAAGAAATGCTGGAATTTCTCCAGCCTCTACATCTCTTCTTCTGTTTTTATAATCCACTTTGCAAACACACATCATCTTATTAATTATTGATGCTCCCCACTTAGCATACAGCTTTTGAGCAAAAGATCTGAAAATGCTTCGTGCATTTACATCAACGGGGGTATTGAATCTTGCTTTCTACAGAAAAGGATCCTCCAGCCAGGCATCAGTATAAACTTACTGCTTTCTGGTATTAGAAAACTGACTGTTAGAATATGTAAGCCAATAAATCCCAAGTGTTGTCAAAAAGGAACAATATTAACACTATTTTGAAAAACTATACCAGACCCACAGAATTTGTATCTGGTGCTGACAGGGAACTCAGTATTAAAAAAAAAAAAAAAATCTTACAGACTCAAAAACTCCTATTAATTCACAGGAGGCAAGGTGTTGTTTCCAGAAACTGGAGCCAACACAACTCAGTGCTACATGGCGGGTTTGTACCCATGGGGACGGGCAAAGCAAAGGGAGATAAAAGCAGGCTAATAAAAGAGAGGACAACAGGAAGAAAAACAGCTAGAGTAAATCCAAACAAGACATAATGGTATAGAAACATAAAAAAACCAGGAACTAGAGCAAGTGGAAAAGTGATAAAGAAATGTCGTATGAAAAGCAGATCACCCCCACCCCAGATGATGCAGGCATCTCCCAGCACCGGAGACAGAAAGTCCTGCCTCTCAGCAAGCCTGAGATCTAAGGCGCATGACACAAAAAAACACAAACATCCAAGTGATGCCAGGATGACAAAGGATATGAAGTCCAAAGGGTATCACTTGATTTTGGTTTTAAAAATATTTCAAACTTTGTTTTGATTTTTCTAGTGTATGCAGACACATTGTATGCATGAGCATGCTTCTGTAACACACACATGAATGTGCATGGGCATTTCTGGGAAGAAATAGAAATGTGAGGAAAAAATTTAAAAGAAAAGAAAGTATGCAGTGGTTAGTACCCATTTAACATTTCTTAAGAGCCTTTGAGGCATGAGCAAGAAGTAGAGAGTGTTCACTTGCATTATTCGGCATCATATGAGCTAAGAGACTTATTTTCCACCCAAAGCAGAATCATATAATAACCTCTAAGGGTTTTGTGGCAAGGACTCCTGCAGCACACCTGCCAGCCTACCATGAAATCCTTGTAGACATTCAGAGAGTAGCACCTAACATCCCCTAGGAATACCACAGTCTGTCAACCAGCATAAATCAAATCTTCAACACTGCTGTGTGAATTGTTAATGTTATCCAAGCCTAGCCAAAAAGGTGAATGCTTTCTTCACTATGCAACGAAGTGGAGGACAACCATGTGAGCTTACTTCTTCACGAATTAAAACTGTCAGCAATGGTGAGATGACATTCAGAATTTCTTGTCCCTTTTCCAAAATTCATTTAGAAATGCAATCTCTCTCCTTGACCCTTCTGCTTGAATTACCACGTCACCTTGAAAATGAAGCATGGCTTTGCTGGATTGCTTGCGTGTCTTATATTTTTCCCCAGCTCAGTGACCTCAGGTAGGAACGCAGAGAAAGAATGTTCAGTTTTCAACACACATGATACACACTAAGAAGCTTCATTTCCAGGTTTGTCAATGAAAAAAGGGGAATGTGATATTCTGACCATGTGACAGCTAGTTGGCTTAAAGCATCCTGAAGTGATAAGTAAAATGTGAAATATGGGAACACTCGTTAGTACTCAAGTCCCAGTCCCACTAGCACTTCTCTGAAACAAGTAAAAGGAATAACTGGTTGCAGAGTCAATGTGTACAATGCAGCAGCTACGGTTCCAACACAAAATCTGTGGAAAGAGAGCAAATCCTCAAGTTATGCTATGATAGTTGACTAAAACTTGAACTCAAAGACTTGCTGCCGATACACTCTCCTTTGGCAGACTGGGTCATGACTGCCCTGGTGCTGTTTGAGACCACACACAAATAGGAGCTCTCAACAATGGTTTCAAGGACAAAAATATTGATGTGAACAGGATACTGATACGAGTTTACAGTTGAAATGGTCACTGGTCCTGCTAAATGTTTACTTGCTTTCCTGCAAAAAGCAATCTCAACATTTAATTATAAATGGTCCTCAAGCACTAACCTTTTCTTCCTCATTTACCCTACAAATTGTTGTGTTATATTGTGTCATTAAGGGCAACAGTAAGAATACAGATAGTAAAATCCATTTCAAATGGACTCTCCCTGATCAAAGCTATGGAACTGCCAAGTTAAACAGAAAAAAAAAAAAAAAAAAAAAAAAAAAAAAAAAAAAACAAAAAAATAAACACTTAAATCCTATTACACCTTTTCAAAACAAGACCTGCCAGGAGCTTGTGAAATATATCTATAGGTAAATCACCTTCTAACACTAGTGAAATAAGAGCCAAGCAGGTTGTGAACCAGACTGATTAAACTAGAAATGTAGTGGGAACAAGAGACATAATTTAATTACAAATTTTTTTGTTTCTTTACTAATTGAATGTGCATCCCTCAAAACTTTACACATTCAGGTCTCAATTCACCTGCAATGAATAATTTTTATTTTGGGTTATTCTGTTGCTTGTTCTTTTGACAGTTTCTTCGCAATCTGTGGACTTAAATTCGCTACTGAGTAATTTTGCATAGAAAATTTGGAAAGGAATCTGGACATCCACTTAAAAATATCTACAGATGCACAAAACCATACATACGGCTGGGCTAAGCTGTTTCTGGAAACATATCTGTGAATCATCTAATTTCCTGCTTTTGAAAGAGTTCACTGGGTAGCAACATGGTCCAAGTGTACACTACAAATATATTACAGTATACAACCCACGTGCGGTGCAGTTGCTGCAGCCAAGTGCATGTTCTAGCTATGGTCCCAGATATTTGCTGGACCTTGATCCCACTGGCACAGCAACACACTTCCACACTATTGGCTTCATGCAGAGACTGGACACAAGCACTGGAGAGACACCACAAGGTGCCCCAGACAGGTGTCATTCAGTGTGACTTGGCTAGGGAGCGTGACTGTGGCCTGCATCAAAGGACATCCCTATATGCAGCCCAGGCTCTGAGGATACCCAGTCCTCTCAGGGTATAAGACAGAAAACACCCACCCATTCAACCAGTTTATCAATGAAACTTCAGTTCTGGGTTTTTTTCAATGAAAGAAGGATACAGAAGCTTTCCAGAGGTGACACAGCCAACATCTGCCAGGGCACACCTTGATCTGGATAAATGCCAAATAAAATCTAGGGCAAGGATAAAGACCAAACACTCATTAATAACATAAAAATTAAAAAAATACATGCTAAGCCTAATCTCAAATACTTAAATAAGACTCTTTCAAACTGTACATTAAACTGTAAGATTGCTTTCAGTATTTTCAAGTGTTTCCAACACAGATGAAAAGCAGCCCTGGGATACTTGACAAGAATTACTAATACTCCTTCCATAAAATTACTGCCAAAGTCACATATTCAATGTGTTTTATCCAAGTGTCTCTTAGGACAAAGTTCTAATCTTAAGGATCTATCTGGAAAGCAACACTCATCTGAGGAAATACAGTGTGTCGTCTATTTTGTCTCTGACACAGAAGCCCCGGTAGCCAAAAAAACGGTTCTTCACAGCAGCTAAAAGCATAAACTCCAACTTTTTATGTTTGTCAAGTCTCACAGTCTAAGATGTTGCTGATTTTGAAGACTTTGGTAGCAGAGGGCAGCACGCTGGCAGCCCTCTTCACGGCCTTCTGCCTTTCACACCATGGAGTGCTGTGATTGCTGGTGCATCCTCCTCAGTACAATTTTTCCTATGAACGTTCCCCAAATGTTAGCCAGTATCTAAAGACTCATCCTAAATTCAACGAGCAACCCTTAAGGGCATACAAACTTGAGTTTAATCTGCCTTCTCAAACTCAACTGCCTACCCTGCCACATTGTCCAATGTGGTGGCCCGTGCACCAAACAGTGGTCTGATTAGGCATAAGTCCCTGCACAGTATTTTCACTTTCTGCTGTCTTTCCCCCACCCTCAATACATTTTTTTATTAGCTAAGACCAAATATCACACCTCATTTTGAACTAAGGAATTGGAGCCAAGGGGGAGGGTTGCTAATTCAGTACTTACAGAGCAGACAACTACAAAGATAAAAAGGCCTGAAACTTTTAGGAATTTTAGACAGCATCTGAAACATAAGAAACACATATTTACTATATGGCTAGTTTAAAACATTTTTTTTCTGTTCTCTTAGTACCTCTGACATATCAGAATCATCATGATGAGCACTTAGGGGTGATAATATACCACATCAGAGTACGGACTCCACTACACGGGCTCAGCAGGGGCTTGGGAAGCCTCAGTGACTATAAGGGTCTCCTGTCCCAGGCCGGCTGCCAGACAGGTTTCATTGCACAGGAAGGAGGTTTTACTCCTCAGAGTGCAGCATGAGCTCGTGCTGGGACCCAAAGCCACTTCTCTGCTGATAGTGCTGTCCCCCAATAGACCCAGAGCCCCATCAGCTCGCCCTGGTCCCTCCCAGGGAGGCAAAGGAGCATTGCCACTGCAGGGAGGTGGCACGGCTGAGCAGAAAGCACAGCTTGTCACATAGAGCGGTGGTGGCATGAACGACTCCCTCAACGGTGGACTTGTGATGTACATCCTAAGAGGTGTTGGGAAAAGACAGTTTGAAGAACAAGCATTAAGAATCTCTCAGCTTTAATAGTGTCTCTTTAAACCAAATATACTTCATGAGCATCTCTAGATAAACCAACTAGCAAAATCAGATCTTTTTTTCCATAGCACATCTGCACCCTTTGAAGAAATGCCCAGTTCTGGAGATCTGATTTGATGTCATCAAATTTTCTGAAGTGTCAGATCTTACTACTGAGTGTGTTAAGCAAGAATAACTCTAAATTAAAATGTGGATGTTGAAAATGCATGCTCTCGAGTAAGAAATCTTAAGATTTAGCACTTTTAAATTACCATCTTTTTTAATCTTCCCACAAAAGGCAGCTCTTAACTAATTATTTTCTTGCTGCCCATCAGTATGTTACACAGATATCTTAATTTACAGAACTCTTTTTGGCGATTTGCCCTTATTAAATCTTTTCATTAATTGAAGGCATTGATGTTCTTATTCCATTTTTTCAAAAGTAAACATTCAAACACTGCTTTTCTGCCAGAATGACAAATGTAAGGTTTGATTTAAGCCTCGTGACAAGCAAGGAGGAAAACATTTCAAGTTACTAGGATAATTAGTTGAGAAGGGAACAGTACAATAAATAGTTGCATTGACAGGCACTAGAGAACAAAACATTAAAGCAGAGTAGTCTGAAAAGAGTCAGAAATAATTTTTAATCACAGTGGAAATAAGTCCCTAAATCAAGTTCATTGACTGAAAACAGCATGAGTGACTGGAGACCCATTTTTTAGAAACATTATTTTCTAAAGATCTCTTCCCCTTTAGAATTCTCTAAACAGGCAGGGGAAAAAAAAACCCATCAGCTAATAAAAACATGTTGCCACAGACGAACTGATACAAAGGGGCAACAAAATCCTACGAAATACAAGTAGTAGCAACTTTACACAAACTTTGCACAGCATAAAAATCTAGAGAAGAGAGAGGAGAGGAAGGGAAGCCAGCTCGGTGGCTTCTTCCAGAAATGGCACGTAGCTCTGCTCTAGTGAAAAACAAGGCAGCAGAGAGGGGGAAGACCATAATAAAGGCTTGGAAAGAGAGGAATGACAACAAAAGCCATTATTAGCACCTCACAAGTGATAACTTCCTTTGTGTTGTGTGTTTTATGGAAAATACCTAGTGCCAGCTTAGTCATGTATCCTCTATCCTACTCATCTGTTCTCCCCATCTCTACATTACAGTTCTATTTCAGTATTTTTGAGAATTTGTTATGTCATGAATTATTACAGCCCAGTCCAAATAGGTTCTGCTTTAAAGTACTTTACATTTTCTGTTTGCAATTCCAAATTGTCATTTCTAATAAAAACACACACAATTCAAATTATTATTGAAACAAGAAACAGCAATAAGTCGATTTACGAGACATACAAGAAATCAAAAGGCATTAATTAAGCCTTTATAAATTCATAACCACTTGTCTGTAAATAAGAGAAAATCATCTGAAGGAGCTGGCAAGACATAATAAAAAGCTTTTGGAAATGGTTATTTTATTAAATGTAGAATTTAGAAGGCTCTTTTCATCCCGTCTGTTTGTTTTTTTGTATTTGTATTTTGTATGAGGGAAGCAGCGCTTTTAACAGCTTACAGTTGAGATGTGATTAGCCTTTGACTCGCCCGTGGTTTGCAATCTGTCTCATCCTACAGCACTCTTCTGGCACAGCGACGCAAGTACAAACCCTGTGCCAAATCCTGTGCTGATATATGCCTCCGGAGCAATCCTATTTGACTTCAGTTGGAAATGCACGAAGTATACATCTATGAAGGATTTCACCCCCTGTTCTAAACCAAATGATTTTTAGTCTGATCTGCATGTGGTGTCGGGCAGTTTAGCTCCATTTATTATCAGTGGAGTTATGCTGATTTATGACAGCCAAGGAGCTGGCCCTACATGTACAACCCGCACTATAGCAATGAAAATATTTCATGAGAAGTTCTGCCAGAGAAATGCGCTGCTCCCCAGATTATAAACCTACGCTGTACTGGAAACAATGGATTCTACACTCCTGCTCGATGCCTTTGTTCCTTCAAATACCAGAGAAATCTGCCACAAGCATGAAGTAAGATGCCTGCCAAACTTCTTCACATCTGCTCATACTGCACTAATTGCGGCCATTGAAATTCTCTTGCTCTGTTCTTCAGCAGTGCAGGAGAGTGGCACTCCACACAATAGCATATGTACGATGAAAGGAGGAAAACAATTGCAAAGTGATGAGCTAAGACAATGTACACTTTGGGAGAAGATGCACGGAAATCTCATTGGAAAGGCCTCGCAGATAAACATGGAGAAGTGAACATGCAGTGCTGGTCTCCATGCAAATCTGCAGAGCAGAGGCCAAACCGAACTAGTAAAAAGTGCTGAAATTCTGTAAAGGGCAGAAAGAACTAGTATCCAAGATCAAGGGGTTTGCTAGTCAAATCCCAGGCAAAAAATATCCTGAGAAAATTTGAACTTAAACTCTTGTCACACTGGTATCTTTTAATATATTAACAGATTCCATTTCCTCCATGCCTAAAAGATGTAAAAGACTACTTCGAGGTAAAGAGTGAAATATATTAATGCACTTAAACACAGAAAAAAAGCTCTGTTAGATTTTGCAATGTGTATATGTGAAAAGCTATAATGACTACAGAAACACTGTGTTAGACACATATTTTAATTAAAGTGAAGTATTCCATAAAAGCAACAAATCACTGAAGAGTAAAGATGTGGAATCAACCAAGGGACTTCTAAAACACAGTTCAAATAAATGTTAAAAGCAATACAGAAGGTATTTATTAGCAAATTTAGAATAGGTGCTATGATTGATGCTTGTAAGAACAAGGGGCTATTGATCATTAGGTAGAGGCTGTAATCAATTTCATCAGGGTTTATTTATAAACTATGAATGGCAAGATACAGCCTAAATACGGAGTTATTTTGTTCATTTGGAGAAAATAAATCATTTTCTAGACATCCATACTTAAAAATTAATCCCTGCAGAAATAAGAAAAAAAAAAAGAAAAAACAAATGAATATTTGAATTCAGACCTCATCTTTGACAAATTGAACTTGACATGAAGGTTGTCCAAGATTTCATTTTTCTCAGAAGAAGCAGATCTGGACAAGCTTGTCATTTCACTCCCCAGTTGAAACCTTTGCTCAAATTCTGCAGAACTGTTGTCCCATGAATCATCATCTGTGGTAAAATCTGGATTATGAAGAGCCATGCACTGCAACCTGTCACACATTTGCCGTAGACATAATAAAACAAAATAGTGGTTTATTTCAACAGATGGTAGATGCAACTGACCTTGCATATCCTTAGGTTTACTGTGAGAGAGTTTAATGCAAAAATTAATAGAAAGAGATTTATTCAGCACAGACTGAACTCCCCTTGGTGACACAGCTGGGTAGACTGAGAAGTAAAAAGAAAGACCCCGTGACGCTTAGGTGCACCTGGGAGAACCAGCTCTCTGATGCACCAGGCAGACGTACCTCCAGATTTTGTGTGTAAATCCCTATAAGGACCCTGCCTATACCTCTGCTGTGACTTCCAGTGCACCTGATGTAACACCACATGGAGCAAGTGAGAGCACACGACCTCCAGTTGCCTATTCTTAGGGCTTTCTTAATCACCCTGACCTCAGACCTTACATCCTTCCCTTCCCCATTTACAGCCCCTTCTTTCCACTCAAGGTCCTCCAAAGTAATTCTCCACTCACAAACCCTGCCATTCACTTTATTTCCCAGCTGGTTTGGTGTCAGGATATAAGAAAGAACCATACACAATTAAATAGAAGAGAGCTTAGAAAAAAATTTCAAGTAAAATGAAAGTAACTCACCCATTTTCCTCTGAGGAAACCTTCAGTAGTGGTGTCTTCTCTGTAAATCCAGTGGTTTTTGACCTTGAGCCAAATAATTTGGAAAAATTGAAGTGATATCTTTGGAGAGAAAAAAAAAAAAAAAGACAGTAAGTCTGCGGTACAATGATTCACCATAGTTCTACAGAATAATATCCTGCTACAATATTCTGCATCTAACTAGTTAAATATGTTTTAAGAATGGTGTTCACATAAACTAAGGTTTTCATTAAGTTTGAACTAGTCATGGTAGTTGCTTCCTTATAGTCATGGGGGACTCTAGTGAATAAAATAAGGCAAATTTTTCTTTTCCTAAAAGCAGCATCTAAAATAGTCAATTAAATTCCCTCTGAATGCCAGAAGAGCAACAGTCACCTAACTTACACTCACATGCTTATATTTTAGACACCTAAATTTACAGTGGAACAACTGCACTGTAGCATTAGTGAGGCAAAATTCTAAAGGTAAATAATTACACATATTCATATAAGTCCACATTAATATACTTCATAAACCATAAAATAATATGATAATTTCTGTCCCATAAATGTCATCTGAGGCACGGATCACCAGAAATCTACTAATCCCTACAGTAACCTCAGCACCCTTCATATTAGGGAAGAAAGCTTTATTTGAAGTACAAGTACTTCATTACTGCAGCAAAATCCCTTCCAAACAGTTTCTGTCAAGTCTTGGTCCTGGTGCTGCAGATAATTAACAGAGAGTAAGCCACCTCTTGCCATACTGCAGCTTAGCATTGTTAAGAAGCCTTTTTCTAAAATGTGAATCCTAAAGCTTAAGAAACAGCACAATCACAGGGGTCTAGCTTTGGGGCAGGCTTCTGGGAGAAATCAATAATTGAGCCATTTTAAAGCACTCTCCGAGACCTGGCTCTTCCAGAGATATTTCCCATCAAAACCACCATTATTCAGACATGCTCGGTTTTATTCCATTCAAAACTGCAGCCATCCACCACCAGAAAGTCCCGAAGAAATCTGCTAGACATACAGTCAATATACAGATCTCATTGCTCCCAGGGACACTTAGAGGAAACCTAAAATGTCTTTTGCTATTGCCTTACTGTAAGGGGAACGAAATTATAAAAACATAGACAACTAAATAAATATACAAAGGTGACTGGTAATTCAATCTTCTAAATATAAGGCTAGTCCAAAAAGAAAGATCTCTGTATTTAACTTCATAACACAATGGAAGACAGTGGAATTTCTCACAATTTGTAAAGGTATGCATGAACTCAGACCTTGCAAAATTAAAACCTCCCATTAATGCTTCAGCTTGCTTGTTTAATAGTGTTATCGTTCAGAAGCCAATCTAGGTGTGCAGCAACTGTATATGGTTATTTCAGCCTTGAGTGGCCACAACGCTCATTCAAACTCTGCTGTAAGCACCATACTTGCAGTCTCAACAGAAAAGAATGAATGAGTTAGAGAAACTGAATTATCCAGTACCTCGGGTCAAATGTTGGGCAGATTACAATTCAGGTGCTACACTGCAATGACAGTTCAGCTGTGAAGAGCATAATCTGCAGCTATTGAAGGGCTTCCTTTTTAAAATAGGAGAATATCATTTACACAACAAGTTTAAGTGGAGAAATTCCAGTAATTTGAAGCAAGTGCTATTCTAATCTCATCATAGCCTTAGATTTAAAAGATTACCTAGAGCTTTTAGAAAATGGATTCCATAAGGATAGTAAAATCACTATCAGGACTTTAAATGTGTGCTCACTGAGTGCTACTGATATGCTCCTGCCTAATCCTGGCATCCCACTACATTCGAAGATTGCATCCAAAGGTGACAATTTTAATAAAAATTCTGATGGTGGATCTTGAACTTGTGCATTCAGAAATTTAGCACATGCAAAGACTGATTAGTTGTTTCTGCTGTTAAACAAAACAATGCCACTTGTTCCACAAAAAAGGCTCCAAATAATATATACTATATGCTGTTCTGATCTAACCTCACATTGCGCACACCATTAACCTTTCCACATTTACTTTCTTTTCCTCCTAGGGCATGTGCAAACTCTAAGATTAGTAACCAGACAACTTTCTACAAAAACTTATATTTTCTTCTAATTGTCAGAGGTTGATAACCAACACTGCTTTGTGTTACATAGGCATACATATATCTACTGACACCTTCCCACCTCAGCAAGTCTTCACCACTACTGTAAGCGACCAGTCTGCAAAGAATGCTGAAAGGCAACGCAACTGCAGCAATGGCAACAAGAAAGAGAGGATAAAGCTTTGGTGTAAGATGTTTTAAATTACAAAACCTGAAGTGAAGGATCCAGAAGGCTACTTAAAGACATCACCTTTGCTTTTTTCGGTTTTTTTTTGCACATTTGTTATCCTCACTTGTCAGTATAGGTCTTGCCACTTTTAAATGGAACTGTAGTTTCACAGATTGCCAGGCATGGCCAACACAGTAAAAATGGAAAAGGTCTTCAGATAAAGTGAAAACAATTAGTACATGACAACATCAATTTGCAGAGAATAAAAACACATGGACAAGAATAAGCAGCAGGAAACAGCCAAGCTTGACAAAACAAAAATAATTAGAGAAAAAGCAGAAGAGCCTCAACTCCCCCGTGTTGTGATTACTCTAATTAGAGAATGAGAGCAATATAAACAATAAAGCTAATTAGGGCATGAAAGAATCTTGAAGGCTGAAAGCTCTAGAAAGAAAAGTTGAAAAAAATATCACAAGAAAATAGCATGGATTATAAAAATGAAAGTCATCCCTGAAAGGGGAGACTAATGCAAGCCCCTCTGTGCCTCTCATACTTCTTCAGGGACACTGTTGGTGCTATTTGGTCACCTGCTTCATGAAAAGATAACAGAGATCATCTGCAGGCAAAATCTAGGAAGGCCCAAAGACACCCTGTTGTTAGAGGAGCAAGTCTGCAGTACTCAGAAACCCTCTCTGCACCATTCTTGATGCTCCTCAGCTCTGCAACTGGCTGGCAATTTTGACACCATGTAAATAAGGGAAAGATATCAGTATGACACATTTCAAAACCTAGAATCAGTTTACACTTTGAATGTTTCTACACAATCAAACTTTGGTTTATATCTCCACATTAGAATGGAGTGCAAGATATCTCTGCTGAGCAGTTCAGCAACATTAGCAAGGAGTTAATCACCAGATCATCTCATTAGGCCATTGTGGATAGACCCATTCAGAGGATCAGAAAAATGGCTCTGAATTTATACTGTTTGAGGAGCTGGTAAGCTGGACATCCATTGTGTCCAGTGTTCTCTCATGATTCAGACCCAAAAATCATCAGCATTTTATACATGAAACATGATAAGAGACATGAAATAATTGCCTTTACATATGTGTACATTTATCTGTAGATATGCACACAGATCTTCACACAATAAATTAACATTCTCATTTCCCTTTCATTCAAAAGTGACGAGAGAGAATTAAAACCAAAAGCTATGGAAAGACGTATTTGACAAAGACTTCATCAGAGACTTGCAATGTACCACTCATATAGAAAGATCCATGTAGCACTGACATCAGAAAAAGAAGAGGATGTTCTGCCTCCTGTACAACCACAGCTCTGGCCACATTCATTCTCACATTTGCTACTGCTGGGCATGTCTTTTTAATTAAGAGAAATCTTTCAAACAGAAGATTGTGTTCTTAACCACTTGCCTACTGCTGTGACAGTCATATATACAGATTTTAGCGCTCTCTGCAGGAGTACAGACTTGTTCTGGGGAAGCGTGTGTTTTCTGAGCTGGTTACTTGCAGTCAAAGTCATACTTTCCTATCACTAATCTTTCAAGCAATTACAATTTCTGACTGTCTCCATAGTAACCCAGAAGAGGAATCAGCATTGTAGGAGGGCTATCCACACCCCAGATGATACAGTAGGGTCTGCCAAGTTATGGAGATGTCCACTGATGAAGCCCCAGCTTCCTGAAAGCAGCTGGAAAAGGATCTCACCCACAGCACTAGAAAATACATGGGTCCAAATGCAAGTACTGGGCATCTTTTGCAGAAGCCCCTACAATCTGACTTTGCCATTGCTCCCATGCATGAGCAACGTTCACGCTCTTTTTCTGGCAATTTGTACTTCTCTACAGCCGTACAGCAGAGACGTGACCTTTGATCTCCTACATTCATTTGTGCTGTTTCAGCAGAAGCAGGTTTCACCTGTGCTTGTGGCCACATGGAGAGGCACAGGGAGAGCAGGAGAGGAAAGGAAGAGATATGGGAGACTCCAATTGCTCCCACTGATGGGCTGATGACTCCTCAGATGTTATTCAGACTCAGTGGCTGAAGACTGCTGCAGTTTCCACCTACAACATGCCGCTGTCTTCCATTTCCTGCAAGTGATAACTTCCAAAGTCTTCAGGGGACTTTGGAAGAAGTCCAAAGAGAGAACTCAATTCCTGTAATTGAGCACCAGACCTGTCCCCAACCCTAGGCATTTCCTAGTTTGTTTGCACATACCACTTTAAAGGAAAAGGAAGACTTTGTGATAGGGACTGTTGTTCAGCAATAAGCAACCTTTCATTCCCAAATACACTACAGCACATGACACCAAAAGAAGCAAGCATCGTATAGGAACCTGGGGAAGGAAAATACTATATTCATCCTAGTTAGCTGGCAAACACTCAGAATAATCACTAGGTTTGGCTGGAACCTACTATTTAGCCTTATATTGAAAAGATTAATCACGCCACACAATGCATTAAGTTTTCAATCCCTATAATAAAAAGCATTCATTTTAAACATCAGCTAACATAATGCTTCATCTGCCGTATGCTAAGTCATGTACGCAACTATCAGTAAAAGAGCTATTTCTATGACAACAGCAAGCAATAATTCTCACTTCTACAGGAAGGATTTGGTCAGAATTTAAGAAAAGGTGAATACAGAAGCATACATGTGCGAGAACATCAACAGTTTTGAACATAACTTATTGGAAACTTCACTCTATAAAACGTTAAAAGCAGAATCTCTTCAGGAGAAAGAAGTTTGCATGCTTCCCTGTATCATTAAAACCATTATAAGCGTGAGGTTGCCTCTTGAACAAAAG